AGCTGGATCTAATGGTAAAGTCTAAATCTATCTGTGACTACTAAATTACTTGTAAAAGCGATATAATAAATAAAGTATATTCAAGAAACTAACTATTTATAATAATAAAAATAATAAAATAAAATAATAATATAAAATAATTGAAACTCATTCTATAACACTTTTACTAAGTTTTTAGTCTTGTGAATTAATTAATAAACAGGTTTTGCATTTACAAATTTCTTTGTCACTATTTTTAGTAATTATTATCATTATTACTATTTATAAAATTAAAAACAATTAACAAAAAAAAATTGATTGTTATTTATTAAGGGGCAAAATAAGATTTAGTTAATATTAGAGTTACTTTTTTGATATATTTATATTATTATTTATATTTAAATATCAAGAATATAATTGATAAAATATCAGATATATAGATTATATATTGAATTAATGCTGACCCCTATTTATTATACAAGTATATATCAATAGCATATATGTCAAATTATTAGCCAATTAAATTATTTAATTTGTGATCTAAATAACGATAATAATAAATTGTTTTTTTATAGTTTGTTTACATTTTGTTTAAATTTTTACGATAATGACTTCTACTTCTATTTCTTATAAATATTTGTTTCAAAAAATTACAGACTGTAAACTTCTTTCTGCTAAAACTTTAAATACTTTATCAACTGGTTAACAAATAGAAATTTTGAAATTATGTTATAATACACAAAGAAAAATACTTAATAACTTACTTGAAGAAAAAAGAATAAAAAAAGCTAATTTCGAAATACTAACTATACAACTACCTAAAAGAAATAAACATCAATCATCAAAATTAAAATTATCTGCACTTTGCTTATGGTTACCAAAAGTTATTTTTCAAAAATTAAAGCTGATTTTATACTACATCTTTAAGAAAACAAAATTGAAGCATCAACAATTTGGTCACATTTAGGATATACAATAAGAGAAAGTTAAATTGATAATGTAAGTAATACATATTATCTAAATATTATAAATTATTTAAATTTAAAATATATAGTACAAATTATCTATTATGAGTCACTATAAAATATTTTTTATTATACATAGTTAGATATATACTACTATCACTAAAATTATATATAGATATAGATATAATGATTTATAATTGTTATGTCAAATCTATACTACTTTCTACGTACTATTTAGATAAACAAAAAAATTATATTTTTAAAATTGCATTTTAATAATTATCCTTGAAACTATAAATATAATTTATTTTTACTAAATTCAAATTTATTTTTTTTATTATCATATAAAATTAATTTAATAGGTATATACTAAGCATAACTTCAAATTGGCTTAAATAAATAGATTATTAAAGAGTGTTTAAAACAAAAATTAAATAATAGAGGTAATTTTAATATCTTTATATACTTTATTAATATATATTAATATATTTATAAAATATTTTTAATTATTATATATATTATTTTTTTATAGCAGATAGGTTAAGAAAAAAAAATAAGAAGTTAAAAATTGTTAATTCTAGCATGCAAATTTTAAGTAGTGATAATGAATTAGAAATATCACACCAACATACCAAAAAAAATATAAGTTCTGACAAAGAAAATTCGAATTTAACTTTAGAGCATGAAATGGAATATAATATAAATTGCCAAATAACTGATACAATTGATGAAAGTATGCTTTATATTATAATGATAATTTATTTAATAAAATGTTATTAATAATTAAATTTATTTAATAAACTATTATTAATAATTAAATTTATTTTTAATTAGGTAATTCTGATACTTTAGAAGATTGTGTTAGCTCTACCTCTAGTATTTATGCTACTGCTATCTCTAATAGCTATAATATTCCTAATTCTAATAGTTATATGAAGTTAACTTCTGATAATAATCTTAATTTTGCTTACAACAGTTGTATTATCTCTGATTTTGATAGTGATAATGAAAAAGCGAATAAAAATACTATAAATCTAAACTTTAGAGGTATTTATCGATATATCTAAAATTAATATATAATACTTTCAATAATTTAATTCTTATGTTTATTTATTATAAATTACCTCATAATTTAATTATAATAAATTCTTATTTATAGATATCGTAGAACTTTGTACATCAATCAAAGAAGCAATTGATAAAATAAGTAGCTGAACATAGCAAAAAGTTAATATCAATTCTAAGAAGTATAATCAAAGATTAAAAAATCTTTTGCCAAAACAGATTCAAAAAGAAAATATTTTATTGCTATTACAATCTACTAGCAATAATAGATTAGGAAAAATTAAGAAAGCTAAATTAGCAATAAAATAGGTTAATAATTTTAACATAAAATATTAATTCATTTTTTGAATTAAATAAATTTTTACGTTTCACCATATAATATTTAATAAAGTGTCAATTAAATAGTTACTAGAATAATATATTTATTTGAAGCATACTTCGTATACTAGTATATAATTTTAAGTTTATGAATATACATATCACAAATAATGTATTTCAATTTATTCATGAAATTATGCGTCACCTCTTCATAGATCTACATATCACTTCTTCATAAATTTATGTGTTACTTCTTCGTGAATTTACATATCACATATCATGAATTTATATATCATCGCTCTGTAAATTTACGTGTTATCTTTAGTGAATTTACATGTCAATCTTGTGCCAAAATCCATGAATTTTGGCTTAGTAAACTGCTGCAAAATATGGTCAATTTTCAGTTCAAAATACACAGACAAACAGTTCAAAACAGACTAGTAAATCTGTGCCCATTCAGAAGAAACACGTGCAAACCTAGTTCCTAAACTGTGCTATGACCCACTGTGCTTTTACATGTGTTTTCCGTGCCTTTACAGACCACTTTTTTTATAGGGTAGAGAGGCCAAGAAACTCCAAAATACCAGAAAAGACTTAAGAAAGAGCTCCAAAAATGCCAGAAGGAACCAAGAAAGAACTCTAGAGAGATTAAAGAACTCTAACAATGCCAGAAAAAACCTGAGAAAAAGCTCCAAAAATGCCAGAAAAAATAAAAAAATAACTCTAGAAAGATCAAAGAACTCCAAAAATACTGTAAAGATCTAAAAAGAATTTGAGAAATATTAGATCACTGAAGAGACCAAAAAAAAAACTTCAGTAACGTCAAAAAAAAGATCCAAGAACTCTAGTAAACATCAAAAAGAAAAACACCAGTAAACACTGAAAAACCAATGAAAAGATCTATCAAAATGACCAAGACAAAAAGGTCCACTGGAAGATCTGAAAAAAATAACGTTTGTACTATATTAAAAAATATTTTACTATGGTTAACGCTGATTGGCTGAATCTTGTAGATCATCATGCGGTTCGAGTAGAATCTCTTTTTAGCGACAAAATTTGTCGCCATGGCTAGGGTACTAGTAAGTCCTCGCTACGCTCCGGACAATAATATTATAGTATTGTAGCATTATAATAATATATTATAATATTATAACATTATATTACGTATTATGACATTATGTATTATGGCATTACAACATTACAGCATTACGGCATTACGGCATTACAGTATTACGACATTACGGCATTACGGCATTCAAGGTTTACGGCAAAAGGATCTTATGGTAGAATAAATTTTACCATATCGATAGGGTAAAATGGTAGAATGCCGTAATTAATTAATTATACCACCATCTATAAACATACCGGTATGCTTTGGGAGCCTTAATCAATCAGCAAAAAATGTCGAAGAATAAATTTTGCTTAGCGAAAAAACATTTTTCGCAGGTTAAATGTACTACTTATCCCTATAATGAATATGCGTAATTTATTACTAAATTATTTTATTAGTAAAAAAAACTTTTTACAACAAATCATCTTTTTTTTATATCTGGCTTAAGGAATTTTGCCATTAATAGAGTATCCATAGAGATCACTCAAGTAACTTTGCAATGGATCATCATTCTTGGCATAACGAATTATTTTGTTACTTGTATTAAAGATTTTATGGAAAATAAAAATATTAGGAAGCTCAAAACAATCGTAGATACTTGCCATATAAGCATTTACCCATATCGATATGATAACAAATTCAATAATCCAATATCCACGAAGACCTAAAACTATTGGTTTATATTTTTCCTATTTAACTGATGATAGGTTATGATCTTTTTGGCTACGCTTTACATATAGGGGGTGCCAGTAGAAACCAAGCATCTTGTTTCTAAGTAAGTTTTTTTAAAAATTTAAATTCAAATATCTTGACAACTATTAAACCAAACTTGATGAAATTTTTTATTTATTTTTATTCTATATACTGTAGTTATAGAATTAAAATAAAAAAAATTTCAAGTTTGGTTTAATAGTTGTCAAGATATTTTAATTTAAATTTTTAAAAAAACTTACTAAAAACAAGATGCTTGGTTTCTACTGGCACCCCCATATATTTAACCACCATAAGGCGTACTTTATTACGACAATATAATAAAATTACATAGAAGTGTTATTTATATATACATGTGTGTTTACAAGTTTAGATGCCTAAGGATACTATCCCGTTCCTTTTTAGCATAACCTTTAATCTCTTTTAAAAATTTAATTTCTTTACTGAACTTTATATTGCTCTTTGGAGCAATAGATACAGCTGAAGTTATTTCTTGTTGGATGGTTCCCACTCTTTTTTTAATAGGTTCAATGAGTATTATTACGTTCATTATCAAATAGCATCAAATATGTACGCTTGAGAAAACTTCACGCTTGTAGAAAAGTGGTACTTTTACTAGATAAATTAATATTAAAATATGGTAAACATATTTAAATATTATTTATTATCTAGTAATTATCCTAAGTAAATATTTGTACTATATTTTACAATATATTTCCTAGCAAAAAAAATATTTTTTTTTACCAGTGTCAATTACATCATAATTTGTATAATCAAATTTTATCTAAAGCTTTATTGTTGTGCGCTATTACGATCACTTGCTAGAAGTATGTGAAATTCAAATTTAATTTTATGTTCTCACAAGAACATATATAACATAGATTTTGAAATTTTTTATGTTCTCACATATGTGTAACCTAAAAATTTTATGTTCTCGGAGAACATTGAGAACATCGAATTTCACACACTGCTTGCTAGTCACATCAAGGTTGATGCTTGAGAACGCCCTTTGTTCGTGGTCAGCAATATGGTATCGATGAAATGGGTTGTTGGGGAAATTAACTTTTAGGGAATAATACCATAATATCACAAAACATTCATCTTAAACACTTAATATCTATATCTATGCGATGGTGCTTACGAATTAAAGGCTGAAGATAGGCAATAATTTTAATTTTACTATGTACTGTAAATATTATCAGCTGTTGTGATATGTATAAACCCCAATGTATTAGTAATTCTACATAATTTGTTCAATAAAAAAAAAATAATACGTAATAATTCACCGTACCGTAAACATTGAAATATATTTGTAAAATAATAATTCAAATTCAAATTCCGAATAGTGAAATTTAGGCAATAAACTAGCACACAATAGAAAATAGAATTTTATAAGCGAAAAAGACATACCGAATACGTAAAATTATTCGACATTTCATATGACGATGTGAATTTTTTTTTTTTGCATGAAATTACGTAATCAGTTTTGCAAAATATCACAGAAAAAACTTCACATGGTCATATTAACTATCCAATAACATCATTATTGAACATACGTACGACAAATAACAGGCATTTTTTTTTTCATTAGAGTTAATTTCACTCATGTGCTGCTACGCAGCACATGGAGTGACTTAACTCCGACAAAAAAAAAAATTGCCTGTTATTTTTTGTCGTCTGTCCAATAATGTATACTTACAACAGGTTTTTCTCATGCACTATTTGTATATATCAATATCAATAATTTGCATATTCATTAATCCAAATATATTCAATTGTTTTGTTTTTTATATGAATGTTAGAAATACGTATTATGGAGAACTCTTCAAGTGATACAAAAGTTATTAATGGTAACTCTGGACACATCGAACTATTTTTGCAGTAACCGGATTTGCGGGGGACCGTGAAATTTTTATTCCTTTTGTATATAATTCTTTTTATGTATAATTATTCCAAAATGAATATCATTGAGGTCTACGAATAAAAATCGCATTTTACAGGCCGGTTTTGTCAATCTGTAAAAGAACCCTCCAGATTGGAAATAAACTACTAAAATTGAAAATATGCATTGAGATTTTTCCAAGATTTTCTTGTTACATTTCCACAATTGTTACTATTGTTGGCTAATCCTAATTCGATTAAGTGCACGTCCCAAATAATACGATGGCGTAAATACGCATAATTAATAGCGATAGTGTCTACAGTTTTCATGGTATTTGGTACGTGTTACTGTATTAAAAGAAAAGGTCAATATTCCTACTTTATAAGGATCTTGGCTTCATTGTTTTTTTTTATAATCTGACTTAAATTAGTTTGAATCTGCGTTTATTTAATTCTAGCCTGGGTCACATGGTCTTTTTTTGAATGGAGACAAAAACTACGATACCAATAGCTTAATTTCCAAAAATTATCTTATATCATTGAAATAATTACCGAATTGGAATATCATAAAATGTAAGCCCAATCATGAATTTGATCAATTGGAATACTCTAGATCGAAATGTTTGGGAAAATCTAGACATTCCTATAATGGTTTAATGACTTATTTGAAATAGATTATAGATACGACAAAGAAAAAGACCCATTAGCGTAAGTAACTAATATGTAGTCAGAATCAAATTACTTAATACGGGGTTTTTTTTTGTTTCTAAAAAAAAATCGCTTTATATTTAGAATCTTTTTCTCAATATTAGTATTCTAATAATATTTATGCATGATAGAAAGAAATAGGTGTCATTAAATTTTGTAACTTGGTTTACCGGTATAGTAAATATTTATTGATAGATGGATCCAGGTCCTTGAAAGACATAAGGATAATATTTTAACCAATTTCCGGAATTATTAAAAAAAAAGGTATATTACGTAATCACTCATTTCAATTCTCCCATTACCTAGCCAATAGATGATTAAAGGTTTAACTTTCAGGAACTCTTGGCAGTTGCTCCTTAAAACTAAATAAGGATCATTTCTGGGGACTGAAAAACATTAATGGACCGGTCTAACAGGACAGACAGGACCAGACTGATCCATCCCCGGGTAATAGAATATCCAATTTATATTACAAACTTCAAGAATGGTTGGTTAACTGCAATCTAAGAAAAGATTACACATCATATGTCGCCATGGAAATCATTGTAGATCTTGCAATAAACAAACATTTTATGTACGTACGTACATGTATGTATGTATGTACGTACGTGTGTAATTATGCCAATTCACTTGAAATTAGAGATGTTATTGCTTAATTCGTGCTTGGAAACCAGTACCAACTGTTAGGAAACAGACACAAACAAGTTTTAAACTACGCTTTAAATTTGTTTGTATATGTTGTGCGTCAGATCAAAACCATTAAAATGATTTGCAATAATCGACCTTGCTAAATCCTAGTCCTCACCCTAACCCTAACTCTAATTTAAGCCAGTTTTAATCTGACGCACGACATATACATCAATAGAAATCAAGCAGATCTACAATACCTTAACTTTCAAAGCTTATATCTCGATGAATTTTAAAGCTATCTTGATAGATTAATATTTAAAAGAAAGCGTACGATATAAGCTTTCTTTTGAATACTAGATAATCAAGATAGCTTTAAAATTCATCGATATATAAGCTTTGAAAGTTAAGGTATTGTAGATCTGCTTGATTTCTATTGACGGCAGCCCACATGTACTATAAACTATCGCTATGCTTTCATAGCATGTTGGTTTGAAACTCGATATTTACTGTATTAAAATTTTGATCTAAATTTTTTTTTAAAAAAACAAATGTAATCATTTTATTTAAAAGTTTAAATTGAAGCTTTTTATTCTTAAGATTAATTTCAAACTCAATAGAGCACAATGTGGTTAATTTTTACTAATTAAATTCACGTGATTAAAAACTCGAGTTAAACTTGTTCAGGTTTCGAACAGGGACGAACTGAGTTCGGATAAACTCTCTGAAATTAGTATTTGATACTATGTAACTGGTGGATCTAATTTAATAAAATATTAAATATCTAATCGAAAATATGATATAACAAGTATGATATAACAAATATGAATTACCTAATTACGACGAAATCATGCAACCAGAGACCATAAAACGGGAACGTTAGGTTAAATGTCCAAAATCGTGATTTATATTATATATGTAAGATGAATAAATCATTATTTTAATAGTCCATATTTTTGCCGAATTTTTGCCAGCTTCTTCATGAATTAAGCATTGAAGCGCCAAATACTATAAATGACTTTTCGCATAAAATTCTATAATTAAATATGTTCTTCGTAAATTGGGTAATTTTTCAAGAATAGAAAATTCCAAATCTTTTTATTGAAATAAGTAAATCACTAATCCAAGATTTCTCTATATAAGTGTGGCCTTTTCAACTTCCTTCAGCTCTTTAGTTCTTCACGAACTTTCAATATATCCTCAAAAAAATTTATTAACATATATTGTTGTATATATTTATATATATATATATTCAAATAATTATAATCATGAAATTTAACAACTCAGCTGTAGTTCTGGTCCTTTTTTTTATTGCCTGTGCATTGGCAATTCCAACTCCAAAAGGTATTAATTTTCATTAAAATATTTGATTTTGAAGGTCGCATATGTTTGATTGTTATAAATGCTAAATTATTTTTATTTTATTTTATTTCTTTGATAGATTTGGTCGATGAATACACTCTTAAAGTAAGAGGTGGAGGTGGAGACTACAAAGGTGACCACTATGAACATGACTGGAAAAGAGATACTCTTGAAGTAAGAGGTGGAGGTGACAAAGGCCACTACGGTGGCCACTACGGTGACCACTATGAAAATGACTGGAAAAGAGATACTCTTGAAGTAAGAGGTGGAGGTGGAGACTACAAAGGTGACCACTATGAACATGACTGGAAAAGAGATAATCTTGAAGTAAGAGGTGGAGGTGGAGACTACAAAGGTGACCACTATGAACATGACTGGAAAAGAGATACTCCTGAAGTAAGAGGTCACGATCACGGTCACTACGGTGGTCACTACCACGATGGCGGACATGGATATTCCCATGATCACAAAGGTGATTGGTAAAAGGTGACGGACATGAAGATACGAAAATGGACATGAACACAAAAAGGATAATAATTTAAATAATTTGTCCAAGTGCGAAGCTTTTGTCAAATATCCTAAAAACATATCTTGGTCCTAATGGCGACCATTTCTTTATTAAAACATAGTAAATTTCATGTTAAAACTCTATTCTCTATCATTGTATTATATACTAGTTTTATGTAATTATACTTTTATAAATTATCTACTGTATTAGCTCAATAAAAAAATCATTTTCCCTTTGAATTTCTTATTTTTTTTTTATTCTCTTAAATTATCTATAACATTGCTTGTGTAGCAAAGTTTATACTACCAATTAAAAATAAATAGATGAAATGATTATTATATGTTACCGAAATTACTAAAACTAATAACATGGACAGATTCTTATTAGTGAATCGACTTACATTCCCTGACCGTTGTAAAAGTCAAAACCGTTCCACCTCAGAGATATTACTGTCCGACGTAGTAGTAATACGATTTTTCGGATTTACTTATTTGTGCGTAAATAAAAAATTTTATGGTTAGGTGATTATAGAATAGTACTATATAAATAAATTTCATTCCTGTCATCAGTTTTCGATCTTTCTCACGTGTTCGGGAATAGTTTAAATTTACATTATCTGATTGGTTATTTCATTGTTAGGATTTTAACTTATTTAAAAAAGATTGATTAGTTACACGGATTTTTTATTTCTAAAAAAAAATTGGATTATTTTGATACAAGATAATCTCAAGTTTTTTTTTTATGGTACATACGACGTACGTACGTACGTAGCAAGAAATAGATTACTGTAAATGGAGTCCGTAAATTGAATATTCTATGTATCACAACCTTCAATAATTATTTGTTAAATATTCTCACACAATGTGTGTAATCCAAGAAATTACACATCATATGTCATCATTGTAGATCTTGCAAATAAACAATCATTTTTTATGTACGTATGTACTATTTTTAAAATTATGCCAATCAATATAACTGGTGCATCACATTAATATATTCATGTCAGATGTATTAAATTATATCTGATCGAAATCATGATATGAATTATTGAAATCATGCAACCAGATCACGGAACGTTAGGTCAAATATCCAAAATAGTATATGTAAATATCAAACAAGTATTAATTATTTAGATACGATACGACGAAATCATGCAACTAGAGATCACGAGATGTTGGGTCAAATATCCTAAATGTACAGTACGTGTAACCATTTTTAGAAACCATATTATTACAGAATTTTTCCAAAACACGCCAAACATTATAAATGGCGTTTTGCACTCATTTCTATAGACCAAAACATTAAAAGCGCCAAACACTATAAATGGCGTTTTTGCATCATTTCTATTTATATGATCTTTGATGATAATTATACATTTATTCCCAAGTAAGACTAAATGAATATAGTTCTAATTTAAGCTCTTCGTAAATTGAGTAATTCATTAATTATTTTGATCAAAGCCTTTAAAGCCTTTGATTTAAAATTAGCAAATTCATTTTAATAGCTAACCCAAGATTTCTCTATATAAGTGACCTTTCAACCTTCTTCAACTCTAATTCTTCACGAATTTTCATAACCTCCAATATTTATTGACGCATATAATATATTATATATATTCAAATAATAATAATGAAATTCAACATCACAGCCTTAGTCCTGATTTTTTTCATTGCCTGTGCATTGGCAATTCCAACTCCAAGAGGTATAATATTTTTATTTAAATCTTTATTTATACTTTTTGATGGTCGCGTTCAATTAACTTATACTATCACTATACTACGATAATTAAAGATGATAATAACTTAGGTTGGTATATATCTGATATACATATTTATATATTTTGTCTTTGATAATTATATGCGCTAAACTATTTTTATTTTTATTTTTTTGATAGATTTGGTCAGTGAATATAAACGTGATCCTCAAGCAAGTGGTTCTCACAAAGAAAAAGGACATCATTACAAAGAAAAAGAACATGATTACAAAGAAAAAGAACATTATAAAGAAAAAGATCACGATGATGAGCATTACGGTTACAAAAAAGAAGAATATCATAAAGAAAAAGATCACGATGATAAGCATCACGGTTACAAAAAAGAAGACAAAAGAGATGCATATGAAGATAAAAAATATAAAGACCACAAACATCATGAGGACCACAAAGATCATGATTATAAACACAAAGATCATGATTATAAACACAAAGATCATGATGATTATAAACACAAAGATCATGATTATAAACACAAAGATCATGAATATAAACACAAAGATTATGATCACAAAAAAGATTGGTGATTAAAATAGTATTACCAAATGCGAAGTTTAGTTAAAATATCTCAGTCGTAATGATCATTTTTTATTAAAACATAGTAATATTTTGTATATCATTGTATTATTTAATTATGTATTCATACTTTTATAATTATCTATTGGTTCAATAAAAAGTCATTTTTCTTTTGAATTTCTTGCTTGATTTTTTCTTCACATTAATTATCCAATTTTTTATTATCATTGCTTGTTTAATAAATTTTACACTACCAATCCTGTTTGCATACCAATTATTAAATTAAATAATGAAGTGATATACCGTATTGTCGCGTAATAACGCGCAGGTGCGTTATTTAGAACCATGGCCCGAATTTAGTCCGAAATTCTTAATTTCACCCCTGCTCGTTTATTACGCGACAATACGGATATCAATTTTCTTTTGTAAAATCCTTTGAATAAACACTGTATCACGTTCATACCTGAATTATTACTGTTGTGAGACGTGAAAGTTACTCCGGAGACACGTGAGGGTCGGAGGTCAGAGTGCTGCAGTATCTGCATACGGCATGCAGATCTCTAACCTTTAATAGACTTCCCGGGGATAAAAGAGCTAAAACTCTTTTAAGTAATAGAAGGTATAAGAGAGTTTTAATAAGTTAAAGGGATTAAGGGAGGAAAGGAGCTATAGGGAATTAATGGGTTTTAATAATTTTAAGGTATTTGGGACGTTAGGGTATTAAAATAAGTTTAAGTATTATAATATGTAAAAGAGTTATGTAAAACATAGTGCTGTAAATTGTATATATTGAGAGCGTAATCGCTCGTAATAAAAAGATAACTCTTGATAAGTTTTGCTTAATAAAACTTGAGTTCTTTATTGAAATAATTATTGATTCTTAATACATTAAACTTCGAATAAACAATACTTTCGCTAAATTAACCCCTCCTTTTTAACTCCTATAACCCGATTCATTGTTAATCTGACAAACAGTACGTTTACTGTTGTCTTGTCCACGTGATACCTACCTGCAACTTGTCCGGTTAATCTTGACGTACTAAGATTAACCGAGGTCTGTCTATCTAACTAACCTGACGTACTGAGGTTGGTTGTGGTTATTTTTATTTGGTTCCAGTTACCTGACGAACTGTGGTAACTGTGGTTTCGCATCTTGGAATACCCGATGAACCGTGGTGTCCATATTTCTTAAGGCTATAAGCCCAACAAGTAGTCCGCCCTAAATTAAATAGAAGATTGATATTAGTGGTATCACCCATAAGGACTCGAACTCTAGAAGATTAAGAATAATTACCTACCTACGAGCATAAACCTACTGACCAAATCTAAACGTCCTCTTTCGATAAGCCATTTGTAGGTTATAGAGAGTTTTCTATAGCTGAGCGACTAACTCGCCATATAAATCCCTTGTTTCACTGTATATACAATTCTTACAATGAGGCTATCTCAGATGTACTACTCTTCGACGTAGTACCATGCACAATTTCTTAGATTTCTGTTATTCTTGTTTTCTATTATTTTTGTTTTAGTATCGATCTACAAAATCGAAAGGATAATTGTTATTAGTGTCACATAGGAAATTGGGTTTCGAGCTTCCTTTCCGGAGCTCATATAACTTAGCCGCAGCATAATTTCACGCTAAGTAGATCTTCTACTTTTATAGGAAACTCATGGTTATAAGAGATATAATGGTTATAATAGTTATAATAGTTATAGTAGTTTTAAGGAATATAACTATTATCATCTGTATAATCATTATAGTAGTTTTAAGGGTTATAGCATTTATAATAATTATAATGTTTATAAGAGTAATGACAGATATTACATAATATTCTGAGGGGGGAGGGGGGTCTTCGATATCTTATGCTAGGTATATAAATTTATAATAGTTAATTAAATTTTTTTTATGTGGAAGGAGGAGAGGTGAGGGTATAGTAAAAAATATTACGTAATATTTGTCACTACTCTAAACATTATAAAGGTTTTATTAAATTTAATAATTTTATTTATTATATGTATTATAATAGTTTTAAAAGTAATAAACTTTATCACCAAACCTATTGTTCCAACAAATATATAAGTGAGCAATTCTGCTCTTTAATAAAAAACATCATTGACTTGATAAAACTTTTCTGTTCATAAATAAATTGTCAAAACCTTTCTTGACCCAAATAAATTCACTTATAAATTCTCAACCTGATTATTACTAAGTTAATAAACTAATTCTGTAATAATATCATACTATCCAATTACTCTTCAAAACAGAGTAAAGTATTATTAAGTAATTGAGTAAGAGAGAACTTGTCTGATTATCTTGTATTTAACTATCCTAAGAGAGAAGATAGATCAACTTAAATAGATTAAGAGAAGTTAAAAGACTTAATAACATTAAGACCAATCACATAATTAGAGTCTGAATAATAACTGAAGCTTTGGAATTCTTTTTGTTTAATTAGTATTCTAAGTTGGTAAAAAATTTTTTAATTGATTAGTTGCCAACTATAGTTGCAACTAATTGATTTTCTTACCATATGACTAAATTTGTTAATTGGCTAATCTAACTAAAGAAATCAATACAAACCAGCCTGAATAGACAGGATATCTCAGAATATAATAAGTTGATAATTTAGTTAATTAGTTATTTCAAAATTTTTTAAATTGATTAGTTGGAAAATTATCAACTAGTTGGTTTTTTAATTAATGATTTGAATTACTATATCTAATCACTACACTGTTTTTTAATAAGTTATCATAGAATATTGCATAAAGATCCATAAGATTGAGCAACAAACTTACTATATTCTTGAACAATATTAGTATTATCTTTTAGATAATAAAAAATTGTAGATAAAAAGTAAAATAGTTATTTCTAGGATAGTACTTATCTTTTATATCTATTGAATATTTGTATATGTAAATTTTATCTATATAAGCAGTGCAAACTACCTCAATAAAAATATAATTTGCAAATTTCTAATAAAACTTTTAAGTTTTAAATCATTTAAGTATTAATACCTAGAAATTCAAGTAGAAGTATTAATTACCAAAAGTTTATTGTTTATAAACTATGTTAAACCTAAAAATTGAATTTAAAACAATAGATCAATTACCTCTTAGATAGTCTTATTAATAAACTTTTCAATTAAAGTTTCTATTATTGAATCAATAATTAATTATAAAGTAAATTTAGATCATATGACAATTATAAAGAACTTTAACAATTAATAAAACTTTTACTAAGAAAAAATTAGAGTCAGAAAGAGATAAAGATATTAAGAAAGACCTAGCAGAAGAAAAAATAATCAAACACTTATTATAAGAATTAAAATAATTCAAAAATAAATCTTAAAACTTAGACCAAATCTTTTATACTGTTTTTTTGCTTTCTAACTTAGAGTTTATTATCAGATTTATAGTAGTATTATGTTGAGTTATATATTTATATTCAAACTCTTATATAATATAACCTTTGGTTAAGTTCTAATTAGAACTAGTTTACACTTTATTATTAAATAATACTATAAATTATTGTAATTAGTATTCAAATTAGATTGGATTTTGGTTAATTTGAAATTTTTAGATTATATTAAAGTTTAAACTGATCTGATCTGAAATTAATCTGAAAATAAAATAAAAAAATAAAAATAAAAAACTTATATTATATAAGTTAAATTTTAATTAACAAGTATAATATATTAATATAATACTTAATACTAGTCAAAATTAATCTTAATATTAGCTAAAATTAATTTTAAAGCTAATTAAAATTAATTTTAATATTAGCTAAAATTAATCTAAACTAGTCAAAAATTAATTTTATACTAGTTAAAATTAATCTTAAAACTAGACAAAATTAATTTTAATACTAGCCAAAATTTATTTTAAAACTAGCTAAAATTAATTTTAATACTAGCTAAAATTAATTTAATACTAATTTGCTTTATTATTACTAGTATTTTAAATTATATTCAGATTAAATTGATTTTTAATCTAAACCTAATCTAAAACTAATTTAAAAATTTTTAAATTGATTTTTTTTAAACTAAATCTAATCTAAACTTTCAAGTTAAATTTTTTTTAAGTTGATCTAATCAATAATGTACTTGAACAAATATCTAAGCAAAATTATTAGACTTAACAATTTTGAAAATGTCCAATTTCTATGTCTATAATATTCATATAATTAAATAATGTATATAGATAAATGTTTAAGTAAATAATTAGATATAGACTTAAACAATATCTAATATTTAAGAATTTTATTAGTTAGTTATTATTAAACATTTTAGATAGAGCACACTAATCTGTAGATTTTTTGTACCAAATTTTTTTAAAAAAATTTTAAAATAAAACCAAATTTCTTAAATTTTTATTAAGTAAATCAAGTAAGTACTCTTAAGTAAACTTGCTCTACATATACTTTTACATCTTAGCAACCTAGATTTATAACTTTTGCTTTCTTTTAAGCAGAGTTATATTCAAAAAACTAAAAATAGTGTAATTCTAATATATCTTTAAAACTAGCTTTTAAACCTCTTTTGTACTCTTAAGTAAAGTTGTTAGCTAGCCTCTTCCTGTTATAACAAGCTTTAAACTATCTTTCTAGCATAAAAACTGAGCTCTTTAGTATCTCAAACATCTTTAAAAATACCTATAAATTTTCTTTTGCCTCAAAAATTCTTACTTTTTTGATAATCAATTCTTTTTCTAATTTTTTTAGCTAAAATTGTAACTGTAATATAAATTACAGACTACTAAATTTGGATCTTATTAAATTTATACAAAATTTATCTTGTATACAAGATTTGTAATTCAAATTACAAATCTACAAAAATCTAAAAACAAATAAATTATTTATAATTTCTAAAAATATTTATATTTATTTTTAAAATTACTATTTTTAATTTTAGCATATAAAGTACAAAGCCTTACTATTTATAATAAAGTTATATATACTATACTATGTACTACCTTAGCTATACTAGTCATATTAGCTATACTATTATACTTA